TCTGTAGTCTAATTGTTTCAGGTATTTACTGATTATTCTTATATGATATGTAGTTCTCTATAGCTGGTGAGGGTGACTTTTTTTTTTTCATGTCTGAGATACATAGAGTATACATGCTACCAATCTTATACTTAGTATCCAGATAGTAAAGAAATCTAGTTTTGAAATGGCATTTATGATTTGTTTACTTGGCAAGTGCTAAAATTCCACTCCTTGTCCAGCATTGTGCCAGAAAGAATTCATAAATTGAAACAAATAAAAGTATAATGGGAGAACAGAAATGGGACCTTGGTCTCTGCCTGTAATGTGGCCAGCATGTACCTCTACTGTGTATTCTATTATCTTTCCATATTGTGTTAGTGCCACGTGGCTGTGGCCCATCACTTTGGCATTGGCATCCCTGGGATTGAGGGATGGGTGTTAATGAACCATGCTCTTAGGGTCTGGCAGCATACTCGGCACATACTGGGTTCTTGGGGAATGCTTGGAATGAACTAGACTACAGTATAATTTGAAAAATGTTACTTTAGAGCCTGTATGGGTTGGTGTTGGGAAGACAGGAGAGGGGGTTACCCAGCATACTTTTCTGCTTTTTGGCTAGGATAAATCCTTGTGGCCCAGTGACAGCCCTGTCAGGCTGCATTTGGCCATGGTTTCACTTGGACAGTAATTTTACTTAAACCAATATTGGCAGTCCATATTTGGTGGATTGCAATTTTGAGGAGGCACTGTAGTTAAGACACATGTAAGCTGGCTAAAGGCGGTTCTAACATTGTGAACAAGGACTTAAAACACATTCTTTCATAACAGAGGCCTATGTTTAGTAAATTTTGATATACCTATTATGCAGTATAAAAATTTTAAAGGTTAAGCCAACTATTGTATGTTCCCATTGGTGTGTAAATGGTGTTTAACCCACCACATTTATGCTTTATAAAGAGGTTTCAGGAAACAGATGTGAGAAATAATTAAGAGAGTGTGGCCCTTCCTGCAGAATGAGCCTAATATAATTTTAGAGGAGAAAGAAAATTTCTGTTTGTCCCTCAAAGCATTTTTTTTAATGTTTTAAACATTTATTTAGAATCACTATTGTGTGTGAAAAGACGAATTAATGAGACAAATGAATCTTAGTAAATTGAGGGTAACAAGCTTATGGCTTATGTGGCTCCTGGCTGACTACAGGACTGTGAGGCCACCAAGAGATTACCCTTCCACTCATAAGCATTACCTCCTAGAGACATGAACAAATAGGGTTAGGGGGACCTGGGGCCAGTGAGAAAGGTTTCCAGGTGACAAAGCACATCAAGGGGTAATTTCTGGGGAAACTTTCTTGCACATTGCTAGTTAGAAGGTCAAAATGTGAAGTAAAGTATAATTCTGATAGGTCTGCCTCTATATGTTACTTGGCTGTTTTCCTTTGATGTTCTTAATATTCTTTCTTCTGTATATTCCGTGTTTTGATTATTATGTTGTGAGGTGACTTTTTTTTAGTGGTTCACTCTATTTGGTGTTCTGGAAGCTTTTTGTACTTTCATAGGCACAGGCATATCTTTCTTTAAGTTGGGAAAGTTTTCTTCTATGATTTTGTTGAATATGTTTTCTGCACTTTTGAGTTAGGTTTCTTCCAAGGGTCAAGACCATGCCAGGGAAACACACAAAAACAGCTGACCTGAGCAATTGGGAGCTCACAGACTCCAGTTTGACAGCCAGGGAACCAGCATAAGACTGAGCCAGGCCTCCTGAATGTGGGTGTCATTTGGGAGGCCTGGGCAGTCTATGAAGCCTCTGGCGCTGGAACCAGTATTTATCCATAGTGCATGAATGGACTTTGGGAGCTCATTCCCTATGGAGGGATACTTTTTCAACCTAGATGCATGAGGGAGGGCCTAGGCCCTGTCCAAATGATAACTGACTTTGATAACTCCCCCATGGGAGTGAATGGGGAATGGTGGGGCTGGTGGGGGCCATGGGAGAACGGGAGGAGAAGGGAACTGGAATTGGTATGTAAAATAAGATGATTTTTTAATTTAAATTAAAGAATTATTTTAAAAAAGTCAAAGTGTAGAGTTGTATGATAGAAACTGTATATCCATAGAATCCAGGAAGACCAATAGAGTTCTAGATATGTGCACTTAGTACCAATCAAAGCTTTTAAAGAATGCATTATTGCACAGATAATATTGTAGGGTGATATTTTTTCTTCTTAGAATGGAATGGAAAGTGTTAACTTCCAGAACCCTGGTAAACAGAGGACTGGACAAGAAAAGGTTAAATGAACATGTAGTAAGTTTGAAGGTTAAAGTGAGTTAGATAATACTAAGATAATCTGCAGTGTTATATGTTTTTCCCTGTTGAAATAAAAAGGTTGTTTCATAATGTTAAGGAAGAGGCTTTTTGTTTGTAAATCTAGGTAGTTTATTCAATTGTGTACATTTAAAATAATCTTTTCTATTTATCATATAAGTAAATTGCAAATATAGTTTCATATGATTTAAGACCATATAACTTTTTGACATCTCATGTTTCTATTTCTATGCTCTTTATACATACACACGTATGTATACCCTTCTCTATATCTTTGTTGTATCATGTTACATATCATAACTTGTAGCCTGACCCCTCCCTTTTTCCACTTCACAATAGGCCTTAGCACTTACTTGGAGTCAATGCTTGTAATTCCCAGTGTGCTTTTTAATGGATATAGGATTCTGCTATCGGTGTATCAAATGTAGCTAATTTGAGAGTGCATAATTAAGCTTTTTCCAGCCAGATTTATGCTTGACACCATCCTGAGGGACTGCAGGGAGAATGATAGGCATGTGAGAAATTCTGCAATCCTGAAGTGGTATCAGAGCAAGGGACAGAATGAGGGGGGAGGGAGCTTTAAGTAACAATAAAGATCAGCAAAAAGTCTTGTAAAATTAATTCCAAATGCTTGTTGATATAACTTTTGTGGCCAAAAGACTTAACTGTGTGGAACATATTTGAAAGACAAATCAAACCCTGTAGGTAATGGCTGATTGATGAAGTGTGGAGTCTTCCTATATTTAAAACAATATAATTCTTTTTTTTTTTTTTTTTTTTTTTTTTTTTTTTTGGTTTCCTTTACTCTCTTCTGTTTCATCCATTGGAAAATGCTTATCGTGTCTTGGAAAATAATTCTGTAACAGAGAAGGCTGCTTGCCTCTTTAAAAAAAAAACATAGTAAGAGAACCAGCAATTTGTGGACATACTGGTCATGTAGTTTGGCCATGATTGAGAGGCTTCTGTACAGTTGTGGGCCTCTGTTTATTAAGATGCAGGTTACAGTATTTAAGACTATGAGTGACCCTTTTATGGGGTGAGAAGCTATATTTGTATGCCCACTATTTTCTTCCCCCAGTGGAGAAGCAATGCCATAATTTGCTGGTGGCCTTGAATCCATAGATACTTGGTGTTCGGTTCTACATTTGGCATTCACTTTACGTGTATTGTGGTGATCACTTAGTACACAAAGGAATGGTGTAGAGTCAAAATGGAAAGGCAGGAACATATTTTTGTTTTTGTCTTTTTTTTTTTTTTTTTTTTTTTTTTTTTTTTTTTTGCTTATAGCTTAAAAATTACCATTAGGTTTACCATTAGGAAATGCATTTTAGACAACTTTTTAGCCTTTTTCTAATTTCTGGAATTATTTTCTCAACTTTTAAGCACAAAGGGATTTTTCTAATTCATTTATATATTGACTCCAATTATCTTTATTTCCCATTTTTTATTTTTTTGATTTCATTTTACATTCCAACAACAGTTCTCCCTCCCACCCCTCCTCCCACCCACTTCCTACTCCCATCCCCCCCCCCCTGTACCTACTCCATAACACATCCCTAGTCCACTCCTCCTCATGGGTAAGGGCGCCCATGAGGAGTCAACATAGTCTGGCACAATAGGTTGGTGCAGGGACAGGCCCTTCTCCCATGCATTAAGGCTGTCTCTAGGCTAAGAGAGTATCCCTCCATGGGGAATGTGCTCCCAAAGTCCTTTCATGCACCAGGGATACACACTGGTTCCCCGGCTTTCAGAAAGGGGGTCCATGAGCTCCCCCTTGTTCAGGTCAGTTGTCTCTGTGGGTTTCTGTAGCCTGGTGTTGATCCCATTTTCTTATTGCTCCTCCCTCTGTGCAACTGGATTCCAGGAGTTTGGATCACTGTTTAGCTGTGGGTGTCTGCTTCTCTTTCCATCAGCTACTAGATGAGGCCTCTATGATGGCATATGCGTTAGTTGTCAATCTCATTATCAGGGAAGTTGCCTCTCCACTGTTGATCAGATTGAACCAAAGCAGCCAGTACTCCCTGTGTGACTTACTGTCTCTTAGTTCCCAGGGTCCTCATTTACAAATTACAGGCTCTGCCCAACTGGGAAGAGTGTGTGGAAATGTATATAAAGGCCATTGTGCAGCGAGGGTTCCACAAGATGACTGAATCATTCCCTTTCCCTTACCCATGTCACATTATTCCCTGAATTAAAAAGAAGATACCATTGCCCAGTGCTCTAGGTAATGTAGCAAGCATGTAAAAATACTTTGAAATTTGAATTCTAAAGTCATTACTTGCAAAAACAAAACAAAACAACAGAAACAGAAAAAAAATACTACTGATTAGACTTTCCACTCTGCCTTCCATTGTGGAACTCTGAAAGGCAGCACAGACTTCAGTCTTGGAGTTGATGTAATTTGTAGTAGGAGGATATTCCTTATACTCATCTACTTTAATCCCATCTGGACATCCAAACTTTTCTGGAGTTTCCTGTTGCCTCAGGCCTCTTCTGGCACTCTGAATTAACTTACCAATGTTAGAAAGCTGTTGGAGGAATCAGGCAGGGGTGAGAAAGAATGCTCTGACATCAGAAAATAAAGGAATTGAACATTACCATTAATGTTTTGGTTGGGGTAACCAGTGAGTTTATGTAATGTGATTTGTAAAATGTACAACATCCCTTAACTATTTTTTTTCTCTTTGAAATTGTAGGATGCAGAATAGAAAACTGTGACTCTTGCTTTAGCAAAGATTTTTGTACCAAGTGCAAAGTAGGCTTTTATTTGCATAGAGGCCGCTGCTTTGATGAATGCCCAGATGGTTTTGCACCATTAGACGAGAGCATGGAATGTGTAGGTGAGTAAGTCTTAATTCAACTCTTTAATTGAAAATTTTATGCCTATTTGTAAAAATACTCATATTGGATATAGTTAACCTAAAAGTATATGAATGAGTTCTATTACTCATTAGAACTGAAAATTTTTTTGTTTCTTTGCTGATTTTAAATAGTTTAGACATTATGATGATGGGTATCTTTGTTCCAAAATTTGCCAGTTATGTATTTGCTGAGTTAGTTTATCATGTGTAATATACCCATGTCTTATGATATTAATAAGTTCTTGGTACTTGCCTTAGCTAGGGTTTCTAGTTCTATGAGGAGACACCATGACCATGGCAACTCTTATAAAGGAAAACATTTAGTTGTGGTGGCTTACAGTTTCAGAAATCTAGTCTACAGCCATCATAGTGGGGCATGGCAGTGTGTAGGCAGACATGGTTCTAGAAAAGGAGCTGAGAGTTCTACATCTTAATCCATAGGCATCAAAAGAAAACTATACTGGGTGTAGACTGAGCATTTATGAGACTGCCAAGCCTGCACCTACAGAGAGACATTCCTCCAACAAGAACCCACCTCCTAATACTGGGGCTCCCTACGGGCCAAGCATTCAAACACATGAGTCTGTGGGGGTCATACCTATTTAAACCACCCCAGTACTGTTGGAGATAAACATTTTATTTGGGAGAAAACAAAACTTCCCAAATATTATTATGTCATACATTCTATTGCCTTATGCATGCAAATAGATGAACCCTAGTGTATCGTGCTTAAGTCATCTGTGTTTAAAAAAAAAAGTTGAAAGAATATTTTTCTGCTCAAATATATTTTCTTGGTCTGTTACAAAGTTCATTAAAAACAGTTTTGGTGTTAACTGAGTGTATACTTTAACATATTGTGAAAAAAATAATCACATGTTTTTGAAATGTCATACGAAGTTTATACTGCAGTGTAACACTGTGGGATTTGTGTGTGTGTGTGTGTGTGCACATGTGTGCACATGCACACTATTTGACAAATATGTGGGTTTGATCTCAAGTGTAATTTCATGCTTATCTTCCTCAAATTTTACTAGATGTATACACATCTGATTTAATAATGCAACAGAGCTAGGAATAATCAATTATGCTTCCCGTTCCCTTAAGTGGAGTGATTTTTAAAATGGATCTTGACAATTTATTCTTTAGAAATATTGCTGAACCTTTTTGCAGTTATATAAAGTTGAAAACTTTTATGGAGGAGTGTTCACTTAAATGTGAGGTTTGGAAAGCAAGGTATTAATTTGTAATTATAATATTTACATGTGAGTTAGCACATGCAGCTTATCACCCAGTTGAAAATTGAAAAAGCCACTAAAAATATATGAATGTGGTTTTAGCCTTTGAGAAGCAAGCATCACCCCCATTACAAATTTGTAAATGGAAAGATCCAGGGTATTCTATGACATAATCCTGTGCATCACCCTATATAACAATTTTAAATTGGTTTAAAAAACAAACAAACAAACAAACATGGAATTGTCTCTGATGCCTACTGCGGTTGGAAACAAGGTGTATTGTAGGTGAACTACAGGATGGGGTCCTCAGGTCTCATGTAAGGAGCTTTTCAGTAGGGAAGTTGATGAGGAGACTCAACCTCTGCATAGCTTTACTGTGCTATTCCTGCCTGTTATACCACTGCTCAATAGTGTTATAAAAGAGACACTAAAAGTGTCTAGGAAAGTAGATATTTTTTGCAGCAAATATCTGTTAATTTTTAAACTAGTAATATTTGCCTTGGGTACAGAGGTACAAGAATAGATATTTTCAGAAAATACACACACACACACACACACACACACACACACACACACTCTCTCTCTCTCTCTCTCTCTCACAAACACACACATTCACACTCTCTCTCACAAACACACACATTCACACACACACACACACTCTCTCTCTCTCTCTCTCTCTCTCTCTCTCTCACACACACACACACACACAGTAATCCTTGTCTACCTCCCAGTACTTATAAAATAAAGCAGACACAGTTATGGATTTGTGGTAGGGCATACAAAATTAGCTTGATAGATGGTGGCTTTTGTCATGGCATTAAAACAGTGCCTTCTCTTTTAGAGATGATAGAGATTTGCATTTAGGATTGTCCAGCAGTATCCCTTCCAAAACATGACAAATGGAGAGCAACAGCCACTTTATTATTTACGTGGCATTTGTTTGTCTTAGCTGTCAGAGCTCTATGATTTAAAAAACCTTAGTTCTAGACGAATCTTGTAGGGCTACAGTACATACATATATGTATATGTATGTGTATATGTATGGTGGAGGTAATGAATTAAATATAGTTGTATAAATTTTATATCAAACAAATAGTGGATACCCAATTGCTGTCTATGTTTGCATTTTTTTTTTTTCAATGTCTATCAGAAGGATGTGAGGTCGGTCACTGGAGTGAATGGGGAACGTGTAGCAGAAACAACCGCACGTGTGGATTTAAATGGGGTCTGGAAACCAGAACACGGCAGATTGTTAAAAAACCAGCAAAAGACACAATACCATGTCCAACTATTGCTGAATCCAGGCGATGCAAGATGGCCATGAGGCACTGTCCAGGAGGTGGGTCTAACTAATCACTCTTTCGTGCTGTGTGCTTTCTGAATTTTTCCACTCCTTCTCTTCCCCCATCCCAGTAAAAGCTATTTATCTATCCATGATGGAAATCTGATACTAACAATGAAGAGGAGATAAAATTCTATTTGAGAAACAAGGAGTGAACATTTAACTATTTGCTTTCATAATATTTGAAAAGTAACTTGAAGGAATATGAGCAAGATTTCTAAAATGAGATTTCTGGAAATGTGGGTTGTTTTTCTCGAGTATGTTCTCTTTTCAAACGTACCATAAAAGTGGGTGCTTGTGCAAGCAGGCCTTTACAGATGTTGCTCATAAGGAAGGGGCCAACTTTCTGTTGAGAAGCGCTTAGACTAGGAAAGTTTATGGAATCTGTGAAATCATCGGCATCCTTACTAGTTGAAGATGACAACTTAAAATAAACTTACCCAAACACTGGGAGGAAAAACCCTGTCTTAATGTTACCACAATTAACCTCCTTTCTTTGTTTTGATAATAATTTGTAGAAAACAGCTACTGGTATGTGTGCGTTTAACTTTGTAATAATTACACCGATTTGCAGTCATTATTCTATAATAGCCGGATTAGGCTCATTTGGAAATGAGGAGATGAGTACTTAGTGAGGTGTTGGACAACACAGAATCAGGAGGTCAAAATGCAATTTTTGTGTGCATGAATGGGTTTGTGTGTTGTGTATACATGTGTGTATATGCACATATGTGTGCATGTACAGGCCAGATGGCAATCATTTGCCATCTACCTTTATATTTTCTAACCTTTCTAAGACATATCTCTTATTGACTCGTAGCTCATAATTTTGGCTAGACTGGCTGGCCAGCAAGGCCTTAGGGCCCTCAGTCTCTGTGCACCCTCCTCCGGGCTGGAGTTACTCACATACCTGACTTCTGTGCATGCTGGGTATATATATGAATTTAGGTCTCAGTGCTAGTATAGGAAGCATGTTACAGACCAAGCCATCTCACCAGCATCTTGATATGAAAATTTCACAATGTTGCCTTGCTTCTTAAAGCTGTAATCACTTGTCGACATTGATTATATCACTAGCCAAAGCCATGTTGCCACAGATAAAACTGAGATTTTTTTTTTTAAGCATACAAATAGAAAACCAAAGCAAAAAGCAAGTTGTGTTTGGGAAAGTGCCTCATAAACTAATCCAAACTTTTGGTTGCCTCTTCCCCTCACTCACCTACTGTTAGTGTGTAACTTCTCAACTTTTTAACTCTAGCCCAGAAAGAGACATGTAGATGCTAAAATGGGTTTATACCCACATTCCGCTGCCCTGAAGAGAATGTCTATGATCCATGGAGAAAGGCGAAACCCTGAAGACTGGAAGACTCCAGCTGGCTTCTGCAGACTATTAGACCCAGATTCAGAAGCTCCCGTGGAGGAGGCAGCTTTTCCTCCTGAATTAGTCTTGCTTTTCCTTACTGGGCCTTTGAAACAAGGTTTTTTGGAGGGGCTGCTTTGTACTAACAAGGATGGTTTTGTTCACTTAAAGTGGGTATTTTTCAGTCAAAATATAAGAAAATATTTTCTTACAAAACTAATAAGCCACTTCTTGGATAGCTGAGAGCATTTAACCTGCAACCTTTGGCCTAAAAGCAAACCTGATGTATTCAGGTATTGAAAAGAAAGACGTTCTTTGTTGTATATTGTTTATATAGCTGGCCCCTCCCCCGATCCCCTCTTAGAGCGGCATGGTCCTGCAATTGTGGTTCACGTTAATAGCAAGAATTAAACTTAAAATAGTCTTGTAACAAACATGCTTATGTGTAACAAGAGACCAAATACTCCTCTACAATACCCCATTTCAAGCCTTTTATTTTGTCTGACCTCAGTCACGATTGAGAATTTTCTAGGTTGTTAACCATAATATTTACTTCCTTTTTGTTCTTCATGCTAACAACAGTTGCCATCTTAATGGAATGTGCTTGACTATACTGATAATTTAAATTGTGCCACACACACACACACACACACACACAGAAAAATCACTTAAGCCTGATTTGCTTGTTTCCTTCTTCTGACAAATAAATCAGAGATAGATTCTAGCTCAAATTGTATGTAGGTTTTAACCATATTTTATCTGCTAAGCATTGCTCTTACTCTTGTAGCTATCTTAATTTTCAGCTTACTACTTTTTCTTGTCTAAATTTAGTCAAATAGTAAAGACGCTTACGTTTACTTATAACGGGATTTCAAAGATATGCTGAAACTTGTTTCATTTGATTTAAAGGAAAGTAAATTGGTAGAAATTAATGGCTCTGTAGTAAAATGGCTTCTATATACAAATGTGAGATATAAGAACTAAGAAATCAATTTTGGAATTTGGCCAGTAGTTGCTAAAAATTGGCATAACCTCCAGCAGAGAGTCCCACCTTGCCTCAGGTGAGAGAAGGGAAATTCCCTTTCTTCGGCAGGTCACGCTGATTGTGGAAGAATGGAGAAGAAAACCACTTTATCCCCCTTTCCATCTTGATTTGATTTCAGTGATCTGCTTTGACAAACCATGCAAAAATGTAAGTCGTAATCAGGTTGGGAATACAGGCATTTTTCAGATCTTTTCAACATATGTATGGATTTTCCTCCTGTTGGAGCCAATCTTAACCTGATTGCACTCAAATGCAGCCTTAGCCTCCTTCACACTGGAGAACAGACATATTAGAATCAGATGCTTTTGATTAGGGAAAAGCCTGAGCTAGAGGTCAGCATCATGGAATGGCTGCTAAATGTGTAAGATGCTACGCCGAATGCAATTAAGTACGAGAAAATGAAAAACTGTAACAGTAAAAAGAAAACAAAACAAAAAACAAACAAAAAGCATCTTGGCATGGTGACCTAGCCTATTTCTTCTTTCTTTACCTATCACATGCTGATTTGTTTTGTGGGGAGATGGGGAAAGAGGAAAATTATATAGAGACTTTAGTAGATGTATTTGTACTGAAGTAGTCACTCTTCATTTCCAAACTTTTCTTTGTGGTTAGTTTTCTTCCATTGTGGATGAAACATGTAAGCTTTCTTGGACTTTTATATCAGCCTTTGGAGGTTTGGTCTGTGATCTGGGTGTCTACATCCTGTCAACTCATAACTTTTGTGACCCATGACAAGTCACTTAACCCCTCTTGGCCTTTGTTTCCTTATTTATAAAGTGAGGCACTGATGTAGGAGATCGCAAAGGTTTAGTTTTCTTCTAAATGCCAGTGATTAATTGAGAAAAGGAGCAGGTGAGGTCTGTGGTCACCATTTAAAAGACAAGAAAAAGAGCTGTGGTCCAAGAGCACAGACCGGCCATGGAGTTAGCTGGTCCCGTTTCTGGTGGTAGCTGCACTGCGCATGTGCTGAGCCTTCTGGTGACCTCCTCCTGCTCAAATAATGACTTTTGTGTTGTCAACCTTGGAAGACTAAATAGGATTTATTTTAAATGTAGGTGTTACCTGTGGTGTAGCTACCAAAAAGCAGAAGTGTAAGGGAGACACAAAGAAAAAAAGGGAGCACAGGAAACCACAGGAGGAAAAAAAAAAAAAAAAAAAGACAAGACGGTGAATTGAGTGTGTGCTTGAAAGCAAGTAGGAAGAAGAATAGAGCCCTAAAAAGTCGAAGCTGTACTTGTTGCAGATACAACCATCCCCTCCCATCTCTTGTGTGACATATTTCATCCCGCCGGAAATAATTTTGTTTAGTAGCAGCCCCAAACTGTGACTGGAAGGAATTTTGAGTCTAGTTTAAGTTGTATATTAGGCAATGTTTTAAGAGAAAAAGAAAAATGGGCTATTACATATTTTAATGACCAATGGGAGAACAACATCCATTTGTTAAAGTATGGTGCTGGAAGACACCCACGTACAGTAGGAAATACTGTTATCTGCAAGTTTGTACAATTTTCTACTCTAACAAGATTACCAAATATATATATATATATATATATATATATATATATATATATGGGAATATATGTATGTATTCCACATTAGCTTTTCAAGTTAAAAAACGCTATTATTAATATTAATAATACTCATAGTGATAGTACTGTTGGGGGTTTGGACATTTTGTGGCCTTAATTCTCTCCTTCCTCTGTGCAAGGAAATTCGTGTTCTTGGTTTGTGCAGCAGGTATAGCAGTTGTGTTGACTTGTTTAAGTATCTTTCTGGCTCTGACAGCAAGTTTTGCTAGATGTTTGTTGACTAGTGTCCCATACTGTTTGTTGTTCTATTGATTAAAGAATCCCTGAGTTTTTCTTAGAAAGAATAACTGTAGCAAAGAAGTAAATGGATGACCATATATAACTTCATGCACAGGCATGAGCTGTACAGAAAAGTAGACCAGGACAGTGAAAAAGGGCTTTCGCTGAGATGTGCTAACGTTTGATATTCAGAAAACTCTGAAAGTGATGTTTGGCCAGACGTCTACATAGTTGGAATTTTCTTTGGGCTGCCAATCAGCTCCTAAATAAAGACATGGAGACTTATTAGAGGCGTGGCCTTAGCTTAGACTTGTCTCACTAGCTCCTCTAACTTAATTTAACCATTATCTATTCATATATGTTTTGCCTTGGGGCCTTTTATCCTTTTTTTTTCATTCTGTTTGTTCTACTTTCCTGCTTCCTCTATGGCTAGCCCCTGGCATATATATATTTTCCCCCAGAACCTAAATTCCTCCTCCTACTTACTCTCCTTGCTTGGAAGTACTGCCTACATCTCCTCCCTTGCTATTTGCCATTCAGTTTTTTATTAAATCAGCCAGATGCCTTAGGCAGGCAAGGTAAAGCAGCAACACATCTTGTTGTTGCATTTTAAAGTACTAGTAAAAACTAAAATGATACTTCTATGTAGGAATGGAGAGAGCTAAAAGTTAAGTAGTTAAATAAAATGAAACACATCTTTACATAGTTAAACAAATGCAACACACCTTTTCATAGTTAAATGAATATTCCACAACAAATATGAGTGATTATGTGAACATCAAAG